TAAGAGACAGTGCCCGGGACCGGCCGCCTTTGCGGTCCCGAAAACAGTTTTGTGTTGTGTTGGGCTGAAGGAGCGAGACCCGCAGGTGCGGGGGAACCTGGCCCGCTCCCGGCGTTTTCATAAAAATAAGCCTATGAGGAGACAGTAACATCCATTTACTCTTCTTCACGTCACGCGCGTTATCACGTTGGTCTAAAAATCACCTTAAACCAACATGCCAGACCTTCAAACACCATCCTTTAACGACTGGTCTGCATATGCACGCGCATACATCGATCTTGTTCACCCGGTTTAGCCCATCGGTAGTTCATGTTAGCACATCGAAGCCAAAAGGCCATTAACCACAACTAAATGAGCTCTGCCTCTGTAAAAACAGCAGAATGTCCGCTCCCTTCACCCTGCTGCGCTGCGCCTTACCAGGCTGGACTGTATTCACCTCCTTAAGAACTAAAAGGAAGCAGTGGGGAAGTTCCCGTGTGAAAGGGGCACACTAGGGCTACCGTTAGAAGAGATGGGCTTGTAGTTGATTGCCCAGGCAACATTTTTTACTTAGAATTTCACTTCAGTACTGGGATACTGCCAAAGCCCGATACAACTACTGCAACAGTTGGCTTCGCTTTCTGCTTTTGCTAGCTCAGCCCTGTTTAGAGGCAGAGGATTACATTTAACTGGCTGCCACTCAGCCTCAATATCTCCGCGACAGACTCGATGGTATTGTTGGTATTTATTCCTGATTCCTCCTATCATGCCTGGGTTCTGGCTTTGGTAACGTGTAAATCAAAGGGAGCAAATGTAGTTAAACCTGTGGTGGTTCATGCTCCTGAGGTAATCCTGTTGCCATGGAAACTAATACAGGATCAGTTAGAAGGAAATACTAGGTGATTGTAGGTAGCACTGTGGGTGGTACCTTTGGTGTGATGGTGCAGTGTACAGGAAAGGAGAGCATTTGTATTATGAAAAGGAGCAGCCAGAAACGTCAAGAACCTGGTTAGCCAATACCCTTACTGGCCCCGTAGCAGTAGTTTATGGTCAGCAGTATGGGTAGGAAGGACATTTGTGAGTATGTAGGCTGACCTATATAGCTCGAGAACGTCCTCTGAATTAATTTAACTATGACAGAAATCTACCCAACCTTGAATTTCTAGACTGAATAAATAACGGTTATCAAAAATAAAATTAAATTCCAACTAGGAAACCCAGTACAGACTGGAATTCAGTCTGGAACCCAGGCTGAGAACTGTACAATTACCAAATGAGGAAGATGGTCTAAGCTGAGCAATGTAAAGATCCTCCTTCAGGTTCTTATCTGTGAAACGAAGAGAATAATCACTCTCTCTTCATAGGGTGCTGGGAGTATGGGTATGCTGAAAACCATAGACTGCTCACTGTGTTAGTATGAGTCATAAACCTCCTATATTTGCCCAAGGGTATTAAAATCTAAGCAGACTAAAAAGATGTATGTTATCCTTGGTTTTGAGTGAAGAATCCTAATACTAACCAACTCTACTGAAATTTTGCAGGAAATGACCCCTGCAAAAATAATTCTGTTTTAATATACTCCAGGCCCTGGTGATAGCCCTCTATGTACAAAACAAGTACCCTTTGCATTGACACCACTGACATCTGCCTATTCAGCATGACTTTAACTTCCTGATGCTCCAAAGCACTAAAGCATAGATCTTTAATTGGAATTTTATTTATTACAACTCATTCTTAGGTACTTCATACAAGCCATTTTGATGGGCCACTGGTATGATACCATAGTGCATTTCTTGTGGCTTACTTGCTTAAATATCAGCCAACTGAAGTATACATTAATTTCCAAGGGCTGCTGCAAACTCCTGTTCCCTACAAAATCATTACCGGATTTACCAATGGCTGCCCTGACCTCCTGCCCTCCCTGCAAGGCCCCACAAGCAGCTTTTACTCTCCCATTTTGCCTCCTGTTTTACCAGAGGCAGTTCCGCTGCATCTGCCTTTCTTAAGGGTTTCCCAGCATTCACCATTTTCTCATCTCTCTCTCAAACCTCCTAGAATAAACCATATAGTAATTCTGTGCTGTCTGTAGCTGTAGGTGATGTTCCATACCAACATTTACTATTAATCAATCTCCAGTCCCCAGCTAGCCTCAAACCATTTTAGTGTTCACTGCCACAGCACAGGAAGTAACACACATCACAAGTTACTAGCAGACTGCAATGTCACAATAAATTCACATTCCCATTTTATGTGTAGCAAATAATACTAACCAGTGTAGATTCTATTATCTGGGTATACAGGGGAAGTTGTGCATTTTTATATATATATTTATAATTAAAATGTTAGAATCCTGTTCTTTAAGTCACCTGGGAAAACAAGATTATATTCTTGGTTTAGTTTCTTGGGGGTTTTTATTTTTCCTTATTAAGTATGTTACCAACAAGTACACCAGGCCATAAGCAAAAGAATAAGCCACAGATATGCAT